TACTATAGCTATTTCCTTCACTGCAAACCACTGGTTTAAGACTTTCTTTAATAAAAAAAAAATATTTCTAAAGAAATATATCTGGATAACGTAGAAAACAGTTTTTAAATTGTTTCATAACTTTTAAAACAAATTGGTTGTCAAGATGGAGAAACTCTCAACAGCCCAGGAAAACTCAAGCTTAAAGAGTTTCAAGGTTTCCTGGAATTTTCAAGTTTTCTGAACATTTTCATCTCCAAATGTACTCAATAGTCTTTGAGTCTAAAAATTGTGGCTGGTCCTAAACACAAAACTAATTAATAACAACAATCTGGTTTCACTCATGGTAGACCTATTCTGGACCATGCAGAAAGTGATGAGGGACCCAAGGGGCAGACCCACAATTCCCTTCCCTTACTTGGCCTCATTGGTCACTAAGCCTTTCCTAAAACCAAAGCTGCAAACACAGTGCAACTCAAGTTTGAACTCCATTTCCTTCCACTCCTGCCCTACTTATTAGTTTGCACAGAAACAATAAAAGACCAAATGAATTATAGCAGGACTGCTCTAACTTGAGAGGTAAGGGTGTATTTATTTATAGTCCAGGGTCAAAGCTACTTCCTTAGATTGTGAACATCTTAAGAACAAAAACTATCTAATCCAGTGTGAATTATAATGGTTCATACCTAGTGCCGTTAATTAATTAAAACTCGAAAGGAAGGGATGACTGCAAATTTTTGATGATGAAGAAACTGAAGGTTCCCTGAAACTCACAGTTTGAACCAAGGTCATTCGGTATCATTAGCCAGAGTGTGTGGCTGCAAAGAGAAACCAGGAAGTGCTGAGTCATCATGAGCAAATGCAACATCCTCGTCAGCACTTCTGGTGCCAGATTCAAAGGTAAGAGTACTTCCTTTGACCTGCTACTCTCCGATCCTTTTCTCAGTAACCTAGGGTAGGTTATGGAAAGCTAACTGCCACCAAGTTGAGAAGCAGCATGAACCCTAACAAATAACACTACTTAACACCCTCATTTCTATATGCTGGTCTCTAGATACGGCTACGAAAATAAGTTGGTTAAAAAATATATGTGTGTGTGTATATATATGTGTGTGTGTATATATATATAGCATTTACTGTCTGTCAGAATTAAGCCATTGTACCTCTAGTTTCCAGTAAGAGAAGTCAACATAGTTTCCTCTTCAAATAATCAGCATGCCTTTGTCAGTATGCAGTTGATGTGCATTTAATTTGCCAAACAGGTCTGACCAAAATAGTCAAATCGAAATGATCTTTGTATGACTGAAACACTTGTAATATTAGATAGAAAAACTATATAAAGGGAAATAACATGCTGGAGTCAAAAGGCTTGTGGTCTAGTCCTGACTCTGCCAGCAGACAGCTGACCTTGAGCAAGTCATTTACATTCTCCATTGTCTGCTTCTTTATCAGCAAGGTGGGAATAACAATCCTCCCCCAGTCTCCCTCACTGCTGCTGTAAGTGTAATTATATTAACAGCACATAAGAAGTAGACAACTGTCATGACAAAAAGAAATGATGAATTCATTACATATTTTTTAAAAAACAAAACTTCGGTCACAGGGTAGCTTCTATGCATTTTATGAGAAACATACAATAATTTTACTGGGTTTGAATGTTTAAGTTGTCATCTAGGTTGAAAACAACATAAGAAGATAAACAGTAATGGTAAGTAGATGGGCAGAATTCAGTAGTACTGGGCTATACAAAAGTATACTTCAAAAAGGGCAATTATATAGAAGAAATACCACAATAATACTTTATTGCGAGAAAGAAAATTTGAAGTAACATAAATAATTAGTACCTAGAATTTTCTTATAGAATTACCACAGGTCTCCAGCATTGCTTTCTGCAGTATTTTACTCATTGAACATTCTTCAGCTATATAAATAAGCATTGTGAACTAGCCTGGGATTCAACTACAGTTACAATGTTGTATCTACTAGAAATCCTGAGCGCTCAAACCCTAGTGTAGTGGAGGACTTTAGGCAATCATTTTTTCAGTCCCTTCACCATCCTTGTACACTGAGACACGTGGCTAAAAATATTTATGCTCTCCCTACTGTGTGTAAAAACAAAATGAGAAGGTTATTTCTTGGCCTTTGACTCTCAGAAGGAAGAACAAACTAGGGTGGGTGAAGTAAACAGTCTTGAGATTAAATGTGGCAATAATTCTCGCACCTGAAGATGGCAGAAGGTGGCATTCAAGATGACAATGTAACTCTATCTAATAGCAAACATTTATCGAACAGCTCCTATGTCCACAGTACCCATGCCTTGTCCTTGCAACTACTACCTGATATAATGTCATGCTTACCCAGAGAAAAACTAGACAGACTTGAGAAATTCCTAATGGACTTTCTAATCATTTTGTCCAAGAAAATGAAAGACGCACATAATATTAGAATTTGAAGAGGATTTTGTCAAGTTCAGCCACCAATCCTATGAAGAAAACCACCTCCTTCAAAATATTCTGAAGGAGAGGAAGAATTAAGGCAACTAAGTATTTGCCAAGTAACAAGCACTTATACAATACCTAATGTCAGAAACATCAAGCACTTATACGATACCTAACATCATAGACATCAGTATGCATCCTAATTTTACAAATGAAGAAATTGAAGCTTAGACATATGAAGCAAAATAGGGCTAAGAAACCCAGACATGTGGCAGAACTGGAACATGAACCCACATTTGACCTCCTCTCTTAGGTAACCAATAATATCCAATGATCAATAAGTAATAGTGTTTGTTATTTCTGAGGCCCCATGTGTAGCCTCAAGCTTTTAATTTAAATTTTCACACTTCATATTTTTTTAAAGAGACAGGATCTTGCTCTGTCTCTCAGGTTGGAGTGCAGTGGTGTGATCATGGCTCACTGCAGCCTCATACTCCTAGCCTCAAGCCTTGATCTTCCCACCTCAGTCTCCAGGGTAGCTGGAACCACATGTGAGTGCCACTATAGATGGCTAATTTTTAGGAAATATTTTTTGCAGAAATGGGACCTCATTATGTTGCCTAGACTGGTCTTAAACTCCTGGCCTCAAGGAATCCTCCCACCTCAGCCTACCAAAGTGCTGGGGTTATACATATGAGCCACTGTGCCTGACCCACAATCAAACTTTTTTTAACATGACAACATAGTATCGTTCAAAAGAATATCATATATTGAATTACCAAGCTGTGGTTCATAAATTTGTTCATGGCTTACCGACAGACATCAACCACTGCTCAATAGTGTCTAATAACACATGTATAAAGTTGATGCCAATTCACAATCACCGGAATATATTTTTAATTGTCATCCTAACTGGGTGATCAGACCTTCTTCTATATCAGAAACAAAGGCCATATATGTGAGTTGACTGCCTAGCACTAGGGCTGCAGGCTTCTAACCAAGGATCAATTTTCTTCTATGCAAGTTACAAATAAATTCCCAACCTTGGTCTGTATACCCATGATCTAAAAACTTTTTTTTGTCTTTCCCAACAGTGGCCAAAACAAAAAACAAAAACCAAAAAAAACTAAAAAACATGCAATTCATAGTAATTCATGATTTGGGATTTTATTTCTATGTAAAATGGGATAATTTTTAAGGACCCCAAAGTCCTTTAAATCACAAATCACTTTAGGGTAGCAATCTATTCCTGCCAGAATTCGTTTACTGGAGTTACAAAGTAAAAAACCATGAAAGATGATGGAGGTGAAAATCAAGGTGGTAGAAAATTTGAGAGGGAAACAGGGAATCATACTGCTTGCTTCAAATGAAATGCACCAAAGCTTTCTTCATTAAAGCAGTTGGTTTTGTTCCCTAACTGCTCCCCCACATATGTAAGTGCAGTGAGTACATTCCCAACTCCTACTGCCAAGTTAAAATGAAAACGTTCTCAGTCTAGAAATGATTGAGGTGGTTTTCTTTAATCAAATTAGAGCAGCCAAATGTTCCTTTCAAAGGTAACTGTCTACTCTGCAGCTGTATGCAAACTACCACATCAAATGTGAGGGAAAAAATAGCAATAGAATTGTGTCCTTACAGTACAGAGCTAGCTGCAGAGATGGAGAAACAAAAGCATTTGTACAGTTAAGAATTACATTCACAGTGAGCTTCCAGAAATATGCTGACTTCACAAACTGTGAACAATGTATTGAAACTTCCAGTACATAATTAGCTATTTTGGGGAGGGGAGGAACATTGGGGAAAATGCCCCCTTAAAAACAGCTAAGCAGCAATAGATACCTTGAGTCATTTACCCTTCCGACCAAAGCTTCTCAATGAGAAACATTAAAAGACTGGCTGAGACTTCACAGGAAAAAAAGAGTCTCATAGACCTTGCTTTTTCACTTCCTGTCTCCATCAAAAACACACCACAGTGAGTAAACTTGAGTATCCTGCAAGCTTCAATTAAGCTTGTAATGATTCATTTGCATGCAGAATTTATTCTTTTAAATAATCAGACATGGGAAATTCCTGCTAAGAATTAATTCATAGTGGGCTTATTTTTTCAGTTTGTTTCTCCTAAGAAAAATCAATTGGCTAACATTCCCAATATGATGTCAAATTAGCTTTTCTATGTTACAATTTATATCAGCTGTTGGTTTCAGGGATAGTACATCAACAGTATGAAAACCTAGAAGATGATAATGAATTTAGATAGCCAGGTGCAATCAGCAATGGAACAATGAAACAACGTTCTTTCTACAGTTATGGATCCTCTCCAGATGGTTATACTGTCCTCATAATTAAGGAATGTGGAATAAATAGGGGAAAAGTATATCTCATGTGATCCCAATATTTCTCCAGAGCAGCTGTTCTTAAACTTCTTTGCTTCTGGTGAAATTTGCAGACAACTTCCTTGGTTCACATGCCCTTTGACATTACCCAAATTTAAGGACTGCTGCATAACAAAATATTCCTGTAGGTAATAAGCAATTCTTGGGCTGCAGTCCTTCTGCTACCAGCCAGGAAAGCCAAATGAATTGGAAAAAAAAAAAAAAAGACATTTTAATTATTCAAAGATTTATTTTAAGAAATGTATCAGACAGACTTCCAGTTCAAACTGGTGGACCCATTACATATATTTGCCTCCATTCTCTCTCAGTAGAAAAAATAAACCCATAATTACAAAAGGGTGTCCCACATACACAAAAAGATGAACATTTAGTAAATTTGCTGGGTGACTGAAAATAAACACAAACAAGGTGACGGAAGAAGTCACCAAAGAGACAGTGGTCTCCAAAGTGAAGAACATATAATAAGGAGATGTATTAAGAAAATACCTTCTATTTGTAGGTATTTTGTACCTCTTTCATCTCAAAATCATTATTTTTATTAAATATATAATAATATATCTGTATATGTACATAATTTTTATAATTCAGTGAATATCAGTGACATGCTCAAATATTTTTACTAGAAGAGAGGCCATGGCCCTTAAACAAGCTACGAGAGCACTGCGGAGGAAGCAGAAGCTGGACTACAAGTAAATAGGTGCAATGGAAAAAGGGAGGAAGAAGGGCAGCCACTTCCTACATTCAAGGGAGTAAAATGAATGTCTGTATATAGGATAATTGCACCAGTTAGCATTCCCATTGCAATCCCCATACCTAAGATCTTGGTGTAAACCCTTTCTTGTTATGACATTTGAGAGTTTTTCCACATCCTGACAGCTGTTTTTCCCAGTCACCCAAAGTAAAGCCTGCGAAGCATACTCTCACCCCAAGATTCCTATGCCAAACAAGTCTCCCAAAAATTTTACTCAGAAATGAGAGCTAGCAGAGAGGGAAAGATTCTATTTAATAGTCTTACTAGCTAACCAGTCTTTATAAAAACTAATGGGCATACAAGGCAGTAAGGAACCAAGAAGGTCCAGACTTCTTACCTGCTAGAAACAACTAGAAACTAGATAAACATATGAAACAGCCGTTTTTGATATTCGACTATAACAGGTAGTACAGGACTGTGATCCCCGAGAGAGAGGAAACAAATGAGGTGAACCCCAGATTGCCCTAGCCTTCTGCTTGGAGGCAATTTCCGGACCACAGGCACAGGGAGGAAACTCAAACGGAGTTCTGTAGTCTTGCCCAGCTGAGTAGGCAGAAATCAGAGTTGAGAAGACAAGGAGGCCAAAGTGGCTAAAATTTGCAAGACATAGTACTGAAGAAGAGCTCCCAGAAATCTACATGGGGTTTATTGAGTCCCTGGCTGAATATTAAGCTATACGTGTGGAACTGCAAGAAGTCAGGCAAAGGACAGCTTCTGAGAAAAGATCACCAAGGAGTTGTAAGATGAATGATTCCAGAGCTCACAGAGGGCAGGAAAAATTTCAAACTCCTTAATAGCCGAAAAGAAGAGACTATAAAAGAGTAATGTCTTAGCAGGGCTAAACTAGCCTTGAAGCAAAGCCTACATACACTAGATCCTTTCCCCAACAACAACAAAAGAGACAAACTAAAAATAAGCCTTGGAGGTATAAAACTGACCCACAAGTAACTTTACTCCCTGTCAGAACAAAATGCAATTCTCTTTAAAGGAACAGAACAAAATCCAGCAGTTGACAATGTAATAGTCACAATGTTTGGCATCCAGTAAGACATTATTAGACATGCAGACATACAGAATATGACCCATAAACAGGAGAAAAATTAGTCAACAGAAATAGACTCAGAAATGACAGAACTTACGGAATAGCAGACAAAGAAATTAAACAAACTATTATAAATACTACAAAAATTCCCAAGGCCTTAAAGGAAAACATGGGCAAAATGAGGAGAAAATGGGAAACATAAAAAAAGAATCAAATGCAACAAGTACCAAGATAGGCTATATGTCAGACCAAAGCAAATCTTACTAACTTTAAAAAGCATTAAAATCATACAGAATTGTTCTCTGATCACAACAGAATTTGACAGAAAGATATTAGAAAAATCCCTTATATGTTCAGAAATGTAAAAATCCATGGATTAAAGAATAACTAAAAATGGCTTAAAATAACCTGAACTGAATGAAAATGAAGCCACAACATATTCAAATTCATGGGAAGATGCTTATATTAGAAGATCTAAACTTCTATTTTAAGAAGCTAAAACTAAGAACAAATTAAACCCAAAGTAAGTAGGAAAATAAAGACAAAAGTGCAATATTAAGAGACTACAGACAAATAGAAGTGAAAGTTAATGAAACAAAAAACTGGGTTATCATCAATAAAACTGACAAAACTCTATAGTTATTTCAAGATAAAAAGAGGAAACATAAAAATTAGCAATATCAGGAATGAAAGAGTGGACACCACTATAGATTCTACAGACATTAAAAGAGATATGGGAATACACCAGCGTGGTGGCTCACGCCTGTAATCCCAGCACTTTGGGAGGCTGAGGTGGGTGGATCACGAGGTTAGGAGTTCGAGACCAGCCTGGCCAGCATGGTGAAACCCTGTCTCTACTAAAAATATAAAAAATTAGCCGGGCATGGTGGGGTGCACCTGTCGTCCCAGCTACTTGGGCGGCTAAGGCAGGAGGATTGCTTGAACCTGGAAGGCGGAGGTTGCAGTGAGCTGAGATCATGCCACTGCACTCCAGCCTGGGTGACAGAGTAAGACTCTGTCTCAAAAAAAAAACCCTAGAACAGACAAATCCTTTGAAAAATACAAATTATAAAAAGTGCTCTAACCTATAAGGTCTCATATCTATTAAGAAAATAGAATTTGTAGTTAATAATCTACTCAAAAATAAATACTAGACCCAGATGACTTTATTAGTAAATTCTATTAAATGTGTAAGAAAGAAACAATGTCAACCCTACACAAAATCTTTCAGAAAATAGAGGAGGTAGAAACACTTCTCACCTTATTTTATGAAGCTAGCATTACCTCAAAACAGAAATCAGTCATTATAAAAAATAATATAGACCAATATCATTCATGAAGATTCTTAACAAAATTTTAGCAATATATAAAAAGGTTACATCATGACCAAATAGTTTATTCCAGGAACGTGAGCTTGGTTTAACTTCCAAAATTCAACCTGTATAATTAACAGCATAATAACAGAGTTTTTAAAAAAATATATAATCAATTCAATTATTCAGAAAAAACATTGATAAAATTCAGTACCCAATCATGAGAAACTCTCTAAGCAAACTAGGAATATAAGAGAATTTCATCAACCTGATAAAGAACACCTAAGAACACTTAGAGCTAACATCACGCTTTAGGGCAAAATTCTGAATAGTTTTCTCCTTATTATTGGGAACGAGGCAAAAACATCTGCTCTCACCACTTTTATTTAACATTATACCAGAGGTTCTAGCCAGGGAAAAAAATAAAGGAAAATAAACAAAAGACATATATGTAGGGGGGAAAGTACAACTGTCTAATCTCAGATGATGTATCTGTATATGTAAAGAAACTAAAATTTACAAAGAAGATACCAGACTAATAAGAAAGTTTTTCAGATCACAAGATACAAGGTCAATATACAATAAAGTCTATAGCTCTCAATGATAAACATTTAAAAAGAAAAAACAAACCTTTTACAATAATATCCAAAACCATTAAATGCAAAGAGATACATTTAATAAAATGCAAGCAACACCATTACACTAAAAGCTATGAAACTCTGATGAGGGCTCACACCTGTAATCCCAGCACTTTGGGACGCCAAGGTGGGTGGATCACCTGAGGTCAGGAGATCGAGGCCATCCTGGCCAACATGGTGAAACCCCATCTCTATTAAATACAAAAAAATTACCCGGGCATGGTGGCGCATGCCTGTAGTCCCAGCTACTCAGGAGGCCGAGGCAGGCAAATCGCTTGAATCTAGGAGGCGGCAGTTGCAGTGAGCCAAGATCACGCCACTGCACTCCAGCCTGGGGACAGAGCAAGACTCCATCTCAAAAAAAAAAAAAAACAAAACAAAAAAAAACTCTGATGAGAAATTAAAGACCTAAATAAATGAAGAAATATACCATGTTCACGATCATAAGTCATAGCATCAATATCTATGTCCTCACCCTAATTAACAGAAATTAAATGCTATCTCAATCAAGTATCAGGAAAATTTTTGTGTTAACTAACAAACTGACTCTAAAATTTATATGAAAATGCAAAAGAACAAGAGCAACAGTAATTTTGAAAAACAAGAACAAAGTTGGAAAATTTATACTACCTGATTAAGACCTATACATTATAATAATTAAAATATTACATTGGCAAAAGGATAGATATATAGATCAATGGAAAAGAACAGAGAGTCTAAAAATAGGCCCAAATGTATATGCTCAACTAATGATTAGCAAAGCTGCCAAGGCATTTCAAAATGAAGAAAGCATAGTATTTTCAATAAATGGTGTTGAAATAGCTGGATATCCATACAGGAAAAATGAACCCAAACTCTTACCCCAAGCTACACACAAAGACTTAACTTGGCTGCATCACAGATCTAACATTAAAACAAAAACTATACAATTCTAGAAGAAAACATAGGAAAAATCCTGTATGCCCTGGAGGTAAACAAATACTTCTTAGATAGGACACAAAAAGTATAAACTATTAAAGAAAAAAAATGATAAATTGGACTTTGGTTAAATTAAAATCTTCTGTTTGACATAAAGCATTAAGAAAATGAAAAGGCAAGCCACAGACCTGAAGAAAATATTTGCAATACATGTAGCTGACAAAAGACTACTCTAGAATATATAAAGAACTCTCACAATACAATAAGATAACTGAGTTTTTTAAAATGATCAATTTGAATAGAAATTTCCCAACAGAAGGTATCAGGATGGTCAATAACCAAATGAAAAGATATCCAACAACATTAGTCATCAAGTAAATGCAAATTAAAACCACAATGTGTTATTAATTCACACCCACTATAGAATGACTAAAATTAAAAAGATTGACAATATCAGGTGTTCAGAAGGATGAAAATCAAATGAAACCTTTATACACTGGCACTGGAAATAGAACAACCAGTTTGGAAAAGTTCGACAATTTTTAAAAAATTAAATACACAATTGCCATACCGGTCAGCAATCTACCTATAGGTATTTACCATACAAATGAAGCATATGCCATATCAATACAAAGACCTGTACACAAATATTCACAACAGCATTATTCATAACAGCCCCAAACTGGAGACAACATAAATGATCATCACAGGTAAATGAATAAACAAATTGTGGTAAATCCCTATGATGGAAATGAACTACTCAAACAGTCAACAACATAAATGAATCTCAAAAACACTATCCATGAAAGCCAGATATAACAGAACATAATACTCTTTGATACTGTGTATATGAAACTCTAGAAAGGAAAAATATAACCCATAATGACAGAAAGAAGATTAGGTTTCCAGGGGTCCTGGCAGAGGAAGAGGATTGACTGCAAAGGGCCCTATGGGATAATGGGAGTATTTTAGATATTGATTGTGATGGTGGTGAGTAGGTGAATAAATTTGTCAAAACTCATAAAGCACACACTTAAAATGGGTGTATTTTACTGTATAAAAATTATACCTTTAGCTTTTTGGATTTTAAAAAAGCCAAAGGATATTCAAAGATCACAAGTCATTTTAAAAATCCAGCAGCAGGAAAAACAAACAAACAAACTAAACATTGACAGAACAGAGATAATGTGGAGGACTTTAAAAAAATTCACAGCAATTCAAACAAATGGTTCAGAAAACCGGAGGAGGATGTTTTAAAAAGCAACAACAGGCAGAGAACAAAAAATGATGTTTTGAAGTTAAAAATATTAACTGCCAAGAGTAAATTTAGTAGACATTTGGAAAATAATACAGAAGTTTCTTTAGAACACAAAGCAAAAACCAGAGAAAAGAGATTCATTAGAAAACAGATTAAAAGAAGATACACAGAAATCCCAACTACAAGATTAAATATCTGACTAATAGAAGAACCTCAGAAAGAGGATAGAACAAATGATGAGGAAAAAGCTATTAAAAAAAATAAAATGAAGCAAATCTGCACTTAGATTCCACAGAATGCCCAGCAAATTAAATGGCAGGGGGGAAATCCATCATATGTAGACATATACTATTTCTGGAGAATACAGTTTGTGATAAAGGCAAACATGGCAAGAAAAAAATAAAAAGGCAATTAGAAACTCCAGGAAAAACAAAATGATACAAGTCATGGCCTGAATAAGTACACTTAAAATAGGGCATATTTTAAACAAGTGATGCAGAATAAGAAAAGAGAATCTAGATGTCTGTTTTTAAGAAAGAAGGACTCCATCATCTTCATAGGGTTATAATGTTGAACCTGGAGAGAAGGAAACATAAAGTCTGAGTATGTGGCCTAGCACTGAATTCTCTCTATATAGTTAGAGGAATATAAGACTGTTTACCAATGTTGTACTTATAGGGGTCAACCTTTAGAAAAAGCAAGGAAGCCTCTGTTGCAGTGCAGAACAGAATGCAAATAAACAATCTTAGCAAAGTAGCTGACAGAAATTGTGATGTTAAAGGGAGAACATAGGTGGAAGAAAGGTTGGGGGGATAAAATATTCTCCTCTTACTAAATGGAGAATCAAGAGATACTGCCCAAAGTGAAAGAATAAAAAAAAAATTGAAGTTTAGGGATATTATTTAAAATTACTATATGAAATAAAAATATCCCTATCTCACAGAAAGTGAAGGAAATACACAGTAGTATTAACAAGCTAAATCCTCATTTTTCAGAGTAGAAAGTCAATAGATACTATCTGAAGTTTAAGTATCAAGAACTAGAGCAATAGCATATTATCTACATTTATGGAGACCATAAACAAGAAGCACCAACAAAATGTAGCATGATTAACACTGCTTGTCTTCAGGAACACCAACTTTTAGAGTAAGTTCAACTATTCTGAAGCTTTGATGCTGAAAGGAAGCCCAGGCCACATGGTGTAGGTCAGTGTAGGTGCTCTGCTCAAAAACCCGAGCTCAGATCCCAGCCTATGCCAACCAACTTGCATGAACCACTAGACTTGAAAGTGATGACAACTAGATTAATCAAACTCCCAGTTGTTAAGTAATTTCCAGCTGATGTCCCAGACATCTTGGAACAGAGACATGCCATTCTCACTGTGCTCTGTCTAAATTCCCCATCCGCTAAATCCATGAACATAAGATAATGGTGGTTTTAGGGCCCTACATGTTGGAGTAATTTACTACATAGCAATATTAACCAGAAAAATTGCTTTAATGGAAAAATGTAATTACTTTAAACAAAAAACTGCAAATAACTCTCCTCCCTTGCAGATTTTGGTACTCTATTACAACTTCTTGCAACATATCTGACAATTGACTGGGAACATCACAAATTTTTTTTTCTTTTCTAGTCTATTACTCCCTCCCTCTCTTCTTTCCTTCTCTTTCTTTTCCTATTTTATTATTATATATAACATGTAAATTA